TGCTTGGCATCCTAACCTCAAGTAAATACACCACATAATCTGCAGGATATGTCTCTGAGCATGCTTACATGGTAATAATGATGTTAAATAGAATGGCTTTATGATTTATTGTACCTTATGAAATAAAGCAAAGCCAATCTCTTCCCACCACGGGAAGTACCAGCACAGTAGAAAATGGAAACAAGAAAAAATGAAATACCACCCAGGCCTGGTTTAAACATGCAAACTTTCTAATAAAATATCAGAACCAGATGCTGCTAAAGATGAGTGATAATTAAAGAAGATAAATTAAAGAAATGTTTTTCCAGGGAATGACTCTACTACACACAAATTGTTTCAGCATGGGAAAAATATAATAAAATTACTGCTGCTGCCTGTTTTCAAAAGTTTCCATTAATAAGTCAAGGCAGGTTCCTGCTAAATTCCCTTATATCCAGGCTCCCTCTTTGCCTCTGTTGGTTTAATCTCAATGTGGTTTAGCAGAGTGAGCAGAGGACTGAGCGCCAGGAATTCGGTTCTAACACTGACTCACTGTGTGGGCTCCCTTATGTCATGCTCGGGGCAGGTCAGGCCTGGAAAGCACATCTCTAAAAATGGTCCTGAGGGGTCCAAAGCCTGACAATCTGCCCACTCTTGTGTCAGATGTGCACAGTTCACCAAATGTTCTCCCCTGACCGTCAGTCCAGCAGACTGATCTCGGGCTAAGCTGGTGTAATGTGATTTTTTTCAGTCTGGTGTCTCATCACAAGAAATAAGTACACTGGGAGCCAAGTTATGCAGACACCTGTGCAAACTCACGGCAGGAAACACGGCTGGAGCACTGCAGATGAAGGGCGGATTCAGCAGACCCACTAAGACCACCCTGGAGCTTTATGTGCCTGTGTATAAACTCATCTTAGTCTGGCTTGTTGTTAAGCTTCATCTTAGCCAAACACAAGATGGTGTTTAAGCCCCTCAAAGACTTTTAATTTCTTTAGATTTCTCACACGCAGAAAAGCGTCCATCGAATTGCCAAAGGCAATTTTGTAGCAAATAAAATAATGTGCTGCACCAGGAGAGGAAAAGAATAAAATAAACCCATGTAGCTACATGGCCTAGTTCCCTTTTAACCACATGCTCCCCAGGCTCATAACCTCTGCAAAAGCCTATGAGGGGTAATGTGGTTTGCAGTGTAAGGTCAACAAATCGGGCGTGCTGGGGCTGAGCGAGGACTCAGACACCAGGTCGGGTTTCCCCGCCGTACGGAGCTGCCGGCGGCCCCGCGGGCGCGGCCGGGCCGGGCTCGGCCGGGCTGCATCCCCCGCTCCCAGCCGGGGCTGCATCCCCTCTCCAGCCGGGGCTGCATCCCCCACTCCAGCCGGGGCTGCATCCCCGCTCCAGCCGGGGCTGCATCCCCTCTCCAGCCGGGGCTGCATCCCCGCTCCCAGCCGGGGCTGCATTCCCCGCTCCCAGCCGGGGCTGCATCCTCACTCCCAGCCGGGGCTGCACCCCCGCTCCCAGCCGGAGCTGCATCCCCGCTCCCAGCTGGGACTGCATTCCCCGCTCCCAGCCGGGGCTGCATCCCCACTCCCAGCCGGGACTGCATTCCCCGCTCCAGCCGGGGCTGCATTCCCCGCTCCCAGCCGGGGCTGCACCGCCGCTCACATCCGGGGCGGCATCCCCACTCCCAGCCGGGGCTGCATCCTCACTCCCAGCCGGGGCTGCATCCCCGCTCCCAGCCGGGGGCCCGCAGCACCGGCGCTGCCTGTGGCGGCCGCATCCCCTCCCTCAAGCCAGGGCAAGGCGGCTGCGAGCCTCGGCTGCCGACGGGAAAGCAGCAGGAGCTTCCTGCAGGACCCCGCGCCCGCAGCTCGTTCTCCCGGTAGCGGAGTCAAATGGAATGGATGAAGGAGTCGGGAACAGGGACAGGCCTCCCCAGCACGCAAGCTCCGAGCTATTTGCAGATGTTTCAGCTCAGTCTGGGGAATTTACACTCGATCTGAGGCTCTGTGCAAGTTAATCTGCGCACGGCAGTCCGCCGGCCCCAGCCCAGGCACGCCGGTGGCGAGGCCAGCCGCTCTCTGCGCCTTTTCCTCCCCAGCTCCTGCGAGCCGCAAGGGGACAAGGCACGGATGACAGCAGCTAGGGCTAACTCCAAAACAGTGACAGCTTGCCTTGCCGGTCAGACTCAGAAGAGCAGTGTTGACCACACTCTCACTTGATCCTTTAAAAAATGCATTTATTAAGACCCTTTACTCCCTGCAGACCACTGAACTTGAAATAAGAAATACTGGTTACACGGCTCATAGGGGAGATTGGTGATATCTCCTTGATCTCTGTTTCAGTCCTTATGCAACCAGTGCTGCAGGGCATCTGCCCCCAAAACACACTTCTCACCTGTTGGACAGACAGAATTCCCTGGAGAGAATGGATAAAAAAAATCCAGTGGAGAGATATCGGACGAAAATTCAGAGGAGAGAAGAGGAGACAAGAGAAGATTAGAGCAGATGAGAGGAAGAGAAGAAAAAAAAGTAAAAGAAAGAAAAGAAACAATGAGAAAAGAGGAGGGAGGGGAGGGGAGGGGAGGGGAGGGGAGGGGAGGGGAGGGGAGGGGAGGGGAGGGGAGGGGAGGGGAGGGGAGGGGAGGGAGGGGAGGGGAGGGGAGGGAGGGGAGGGGAGGGGAGGGAGGGGAGGGGAGGGAGAGGAGAGGAGAGGAGAGGAGAGGAGAGGAGAGGAGAGGAGAGGAGAGGAGAGGAGAGGAGAGGAGAGGAGAGGAGAGGAGAGGAGAGGAGAGGAGAGGAGAGGAGAGGAGAGGAGAGGAGAGGAGAGGAGAGGAGAGGAGAGGAGAGGAGAGGAGAGGAGAGGAGAGGAGAGGAGAGGAGAGAGGAGAGGAGAGGAGAGGAGAGGAGAGGAGAGGAGAGGAGAGGAGAGGAGAGGAGAGGAGAGGAGAGGAGAGGAGAGGAGAGGAGAGGAGAGGAGAGGAGAGGAGAGGAGAGGAGAGGAGAGGAGAGGAGAGGAGAGGAGAGGAGAGGAGAGGAGAGGAGAGGAGAGGAGAGGAGAGGAGAGGAGAGGAGAGGAGAGGAGAGGAGAGGAGAGGAGAGGAGAGGAGAGGAGAGGAGAGGAGAGGAGAGGAGAGGAGAGGAGAGGAGAGGAGAGGAGAGGAGAGGAGAGGAGAGGAGAGGAGAGGAGAGGAGAGGAGAGGAGAGGAGAGGAGAGGAGAGGAGAGGAGAGGAGAGGAGAGGAGAGGAGAGGAGAGGAGAGGAGAGGAGAGGAGAGGAGAGGAGAGGAGAGGAGAGGAGAGGAGAGGAGAGGAGAGGAGAGGAGAGGAGAGGAGAGGAGAGGAGAGGAGAGGAGAGGAGAGGAGAGGAGAGGAGAGGAGAGGAGAGGAGAGGAGAGGAGAGGAGAGGAGAGGAGAGGAGAGGAGAGGAGTCATGAATCTGGGTGTGTAATTTATATATGAGTGAAAGTTTAAACCAGTGTGATTGGCAAGACTACAATGTTACTAAAAGCCACAGACATGCTAATTGGTGAGTCATTTAAATAAAACCTATTGATCTTGTAGGTTTGCCAGTTTTCAATTTTCACTTTTGCTTGAAAACAGCTCAGAAAATAAGACTTAACCAGAAACTCATGATCAGTGACTTTTTCATCCAATTTTTTAGCAAATGTAACTCATCTATCTTGAGGGGTGTTTTTGTTTGACCATGGGAGCAGTCACAAAGCTTCCTGCATTGGCTGGAGTCACACACTCAGAGCAGACCACGTCCTATGTGCTTTCCATATTCCCATTACTTCCACATTTCCATTGCAGCTGCAAACCAAGATATTCTTCTCAACTGTGATGTTCACTGCCAGCAAACAGTCTTAGGTGTATGACAAATAACCACTATAGGCCTGTGGCACCTCAGCCACGCCACTCCAGAGGTGGGGGATGCCAAAGGTCAAGCTTGGCTCAGCTCAGTTTTCTGCAGCCATGCCCAGCACAGGAGCTCTGAGCTGCTCAGGAATTTGACTGACATTGTCAGCACGAAGACAGTAAAGGAATGTGACTGATGTGTTGTGGTTCAAAGATGAATGTAGTTTGACAATTCATGTAAAGGAGCAAAAAAAAAAACCAAAAAAAAAAAAAAACTTTTACCACATTAATCCCTTCATCCTTTACTGTTTGAGCTGAATCTAAGGTAAATTTGATAGAGTGGCTAAAGCAGGTATTCTTGAACATCAACCCTGCTCTTCTGCCACAGGTTAGGAAAGTTTTTTCCACCTTGAAAGAAGCACCATCATCTGTTGAGTGATCTTGAGCTGCTAAGATAGAGAGATTGGCTCCTTCTCCCCCTCAGAGAGAGCTTCAGTAAGCAGGCACAGGCTTTCCACATTCTTAAGCAAAATATTTACTTTAGAAGCGCTGAAACAAAATTTGGAAAAGTGAAGAATAATATTTATTTTGATGATGTTAAATTGCATTAACGTCAAAAGTGAAAATTAGATGCATGCACATACACCAAGGGCATTATTCACTAATCACAGGAACATAAAAGAACTGGAAAACACCCTCCTTCATTGCCACTAGAAAAGTTGATCTGGAATAAATTACAGGCAAAATGTATAATTAAGCAAGCCATTATTATCCAGTGTCTTAGCAGATGCTGGCATTGTTTATGGTGATTGGGATAAGAATTCAAGCGAGGTTTGGTTTCACAGCTGTGTCCATGATGCCTTGGACCTGTTGTATTGCCCCAGAAATTTCCAGTATCTAAGTGTGCTGCTTATTGATTCCTATCCTCCTCAGCTGCTGACTGGGGAACTTTTCTTTAGCTTCTTGGAAACAAGAAAATTGTTTAACTGATCAGTCAGCCAGGATTAATACTTGAAACCTGTGTTTAATTACTTTGAAGAAGCTTTAATATTCCACCAGTACAAGGAGGAGGGACCTTCCACTGCATGTTGCTATTCTCTTAGTTTTAGTTTTTGCAGGTGTAAGCTTGTGGCTTAGTTACTGAAATAATAATTCTGTTGAAAATATCCTTGGCATGAGAGACAAGCTGCCAAAGTGTAATGGGCACAGTAATTTGTACATGGAAATGAGGATCCATGAACATCAGTGTCCTCAGGAGCTTACGATTAAAACATTATGCTGAGCTCTTATGATTTCTACAGCTAATTAGCAAGATTTATAAGTGTCTAAAAAAAAAAAAAGGCTGAATACAGAAACTATCCTTATTTTCCACTTAGGGTAGAAAACTGCTGGGTTCTATAATAGTGGGGAAAGAAAGAGAGGGAAAACACCCTTATCTTTTCATTTGCCCACAATTTAGACTAATTGCTTCTCTCTTTTCCCTAGGATAAGTGGATGTCTCAGGTGTCAAGCATGAAGTCTGTGACTTATTCACATCAGTGGCAATGCCTTGTTGATTTCATAGAGAAAAGGTTTCCTGCTGTTTCATTATGGATTCAGACTAGCACTGGTTTTGTTTTCCAGCAGCATGCTGAGGGAATGCAAGGTGTCTGAAAAAGCCACTTCCACTAATATATCCTTGGTTGATTCTGTTCCCCAGGAGTGCAAAGGGAAAAGGAGGGGCGTGGGAGGAAAGAAGAAATACCAAGCTAGTCTGTAGAGGAATGAAGGTTTTAGTCTGCAGCCACAGACCTGCAAGGATCTCCGCTGCTCCCAGGAGGATTTCTGGCTGGCAGCACCTGCATGACCTGCTTGGGAAGTTCATGGTGTGTATGGAGAGGCTCTGCATGCCCCCAGCCTTTTCCCTACAATTTTTGCATTTTTAGAAGCCCAAACATCTCCATGTAGTCATGGACAGAAAACCCCTGGCCAGTGTCATAAAACTCTTCTGGTCAGACAAATCTTTCCGCCAGGAAAGGAGATGCCCTCCAGAAAATATGATTGTGTGGACATCTCACTGCATAGGATGAGCATTGCTCTGAGACAAAGACTGATGATCATTACTGAAGGAAGGAATTGCTTCAATACAGACCCAAACCAACTGAATCCAGATGTGATTACTGGTTTTTTGGTGGTTGTAGCTAGCTCCTGTGTGCAGAACAGCTGAGATTTCACCCAGAACACAGCTGGCTGTTTCAGCCAGGGTGTCTGTCCCTGGTCCAGGTTTGCCTTTGGGAAGAGATTCTCCAGCCACTGTCAGCATTGCCCTCTGCCAGATTCTGCACTCCTGTTTCTAGCCAAGAGTAGAAGGACCACAGGTGGGTCTGTGCTCCCCTAGCTGGGAACTGTGACCCATGGTGAGGGACTGAGAGCCACACTGGGCCCTCAGCTGCCTAGGCATAGAACTAGATGTAGGGACATGTTCTGTCTGTACAGCCCTCTCAGGCAAATATGACCTTCAAAGGATTGTACTTCACTTTTTGGTGGCTGTAAACATCTAGTGACAGACACAAGATCTTCATGTATCCCTGGGAAGCGCTTTATCAATTCTGTATGTCACCACAATGTAATAATTAAAAATACACTGTCTTACTGCACAACTAGTATGACCACAAAAGTCCATTTATAAAGTTCCATCTATTTATACTGGATCTCCGTTTCCTAAGCTTAGATATAAACAAATACCAGTATGCCACACTTACTAATATCCTAGCATTTTATGACTTTTTAATGAACCACTGTCATCACCTCATCCAGTAATTTTTTTCTCATTCCTGTATTCCTAGACAGATGGCCTAAATGGGTATAATGGGATCATTTCCACTCCAGCAGTAGTTTGGTAGCTGCTGAACCCTTGAAGCAGAGAGTATGCCAAAGTTGATGGTGAAACCCACACTGGAGTAATGCCATAATCTCCATATTCACCTACAGAGTCAGTCCTTTTTTTTTTTTTTTTTTTTTTGTTAACATGGAGTGGGAGCAGTTAGACATTTTTAAAGAGTTTCTGGTCTAATATTAGACAGGAAGGTTTAGCAAGAGAACTTTTCATTGAAATGGCACCTTAGCCTCCTTGGCCAGAGGTGCTTCAGACCATGGGAATATCAGGCTGGCACCTCCTACTGCAACATGTCCAGTGAGAGGAACATCAGCAGAGCTTGACTTCATCATATAAACCCAAGCTTGCATATGGATACAAAGCTCCCAAAACAGAGCTGTGGGGGAAAGAATCCCACCCTGATGGAAAGAGGGAAGTGGAACAAAGGCCTGGCTGAGGTGTCACTGCTGGAGTGACAGCAGAGCTAGCAGAGGGAGGGGAGTGGGGCAGGGAGCACCCTGTCACACGGCAGCCCCTCCATCCTCCATCCTGCAGCACAGAGAGGGGGGGCCTGCCCAGCCTCTTTTACAGGTGTGCGGGAACTGGGGGACCCACAGGCGGCTGGGGCTCTCCTCCCAAGCATGTGCACTCCAGATGGGCTAGGACTGAACGCCAGCCAATGTGGAATATTATTTATAATAACAATAATAACAGTATTAATAGCATAAGAACATCTGGTAGCATTTTTTTCCGTCTACTATTTGGCTGGAGGCAGAGCATCCGGGTGACATGACAATGTATTTCTGTTTCCAATTTAGCCCCAGCTCAGCTGCTGCAGTGACTCAGAGACAGGCACTTCCAGGGACGCATCCCTGCTCCCGGTCCCGGCTGGCCCCACAGGTGTCCCACCACAGACAGCAGAAGCACCTAAGATCATCCATGCTTGGATTTCCTTTACTGGCTGTTTCACAGGAGGCTGCAAGGAGGTTTTTATGCTTCCACGGCTCCTTTCCATCCTACCCTGTGAGGAAGTCACCCAACTACAACGGTGTGCGGTTTCAGACAGAAAATAAAAGCTGGCTGTTTTGAAATCAAACCAGGAGTGGCTCTATTCACATGTCATGCTATTGAAAGTATATTTGACTTCATACATAGTTAAAGTATTTCGGTATTGTTTTGAATTCTAAGGATTTCAAATGCGTCCAGCAATATGTCTCTTCCAGCAACAAAGATTTCAGTTTTGACACGCAACTAACATCTAGCCTAAAAAATTAATGCTGTGGTTAAAAGCAGACTTTTCTTTCTTCATTATACTGACAGAAAGCTAAAAGCAAAATTACCATGGAAGCTGAAGCTGTTGCTCCTAAAGTGTATACAGATAGTTGCAGCAGGAATACTTTTATCCATCCTGCTCATCATTAGTTTCTCCCAGCAAGTTCTAGCTGGGAAGTTGATTTCTGTGAGATCTAGTGAACTGAGGGCGGAGTCCTCACTCATGGAACAGGCTTTCACTTCAAAGCAGTTAACGCATTGTGCACAGACTCTCATCTGCTATAAATTTATACAGGTTGATGACAAACTTAAAAGGTACACTGTTAAAACTTCATGTTCAAGAATAATGCTCATTTAAGTATTTGAGCATTCTCTCTCAAGTGGCTGAAGACTGAGATTTATGTAAAGTAAATGAAGCGTCCCCTGATGCCTTTGGAGGCACGTATCCTGTTCCTGTCCTTGGGGTCAGCCAGCTCTGCATGTATTCTCCAGGACAAACTAGGTCTCAACACTCATAATATAATCAAATTTGCATATGAAGTAGCAAAAAACTGCTGATAAACCAAAAATCCAGGCCTTTGGCTCAGCACTTGTTCAATTATTAAAATCAGTTGCCTTAGATGGCATCTGAAATAAAACCGTTTCTCCTAATACACTTCACACACCACTCCGTGAAAAGATTAAATCTAATTATGTAGCTTGACCTCCTAGTTTAGTCAGCTGAATTTGTAGGGCAATGCAAGGCTGCTCCCATCACCTTTAGCTATAGTGATGTGATTCTTAAAATCCTTAAGATGAAAACTTCAATAGTGCAGCATTATTTGTAACTGACAAAAGCCAGGAATTTGGGTTAATTCTACCTCCAGCCTCCTTTTAATCTCCACATAGGTTCCCTGTTGTCACAAATATTATTAGCATATGAAATCTGCTGACTGCTGAAGTTTGGGGAATTCTAATAATGAAGGAATTTCCACACCCTTACATCTAACACAGTTTCTGAAGCAGACTGCCAATGTATATTGTAAAGCTCCCCTGGTTGGTTCAACACTCAGTGACAGTAGGCAGGAACCTGCAGCTCTGGTACAGAAATACAGGGCCAGACATTCCCCTCTTGGCCTGGAGAGGCAGTGGCTCCCTTTCCCTTTGAGGACCCTGGTGGTGCCACCCAAGTGGCACCCAAGTGGAACCCAACATTTGCCTTTCTTTGGGATCTCATGGCTGGCCCTGGGTGCAGGGCTTACATTATGGGGCAGAACACACTCAGACTAGAAACTTGGCAGCTCAACAGCCAGAAGAACAGAGGAAAGCAGAGTGGAAATGAGCAGGCTTGGGAAAAGAAAACTGGGAAAGAACAAAGAGAGAGCTGTAATCAGAAATCATCTGAAGCAATGCTCTTAAGATGTTATCCATAACAGAGTCCTTGATGACAGTCCAGGATTCTCAGCCTGGGCCAGGGAACTGTCATCTAGAAAGGAGTAAAATCTTACATAGGCTCATGCTATTAATAGTGACAATGCTCAGTAAATCCTACCATGTGCACTATAAACAAGCTTTTTTTCCTGTGGCTCAGCACAAGTCCTTCTAAATTCAGAATTTATCTGTCTCTCAGACCAGAGGTCCAGCTTTGCACTGTGACACTGTGTATGCATGGGCTGCATATATTTTTAGCATAACCAGGTATGATTCCCCTTCCTTTTGCAAGATGTTGATCTTCTCAGTTCAGTGTCTCCTCCCTTCCCACATCCTCCTCACCAAAACAGGGTGACCTCTCCATTCTGTAGGGAATTCCCTTACATACATGTTCTCTTGTGTTATGTGAACTAAAGTATTTGTGACAGTCACCTCAGAGAGGGAGAAGTGAGTTCTTGCCTTTGTCTTAAAGATTTGACCGAGCAGGAGAGTGGGAACTACATCTCCATGGTCACCAGAGAGGTCTTGCAACCTAGGGAGACAGCCTTGCCTCTTCCCCGGCTTCCTCTGAACATGGTAATTAAATCCTTGAACCCCAGGATGACAGCTGCAATGGGGAGACTAAAGTCCACAATCACAAAGCTTTCTAACCCATTTTCTCCTACAAGACAGGTTAGACAGCCCTGGTTCTCCCTGGTAAAGGTGTGTATGTGTTCAAACCGTGTGTCCCAAAGACTGGGTAAGCAGGCAGAGCTGGAACTGAAAGAGGGTAAGTTTAGATTTGGTATGAGAAAGAAATTATTTGCCATGAAGGTGGTGAGACACTGGAATAGGCTGCCCAGAGAAGCTGTGAATGCCCCATCCCTGAAAGTGTTTAAGGGCAGGCTGGATGCAGATTTAAAAACCTGGTCTAGTGAAAGGTGTCCCTGCTCATGGCAGGAGGGATAGAACTAGATTATATTTAGGGTCCCTTTCAACCCAAACCATTCTGTGATTCCACAAAATACCTTCTCAGTCCTTCAGGGTGTGCCTTACTTTACCATCAGAGGTAAGAACTGAGGCAGTCAGCCAGTCTTTGAATACCGATTCTGTGTGTAGCAGATGACCAAACACCTTCAGGCAGAGGTGCTCTGCTCCCCACTCCAGGGTTTCAATAGTATATTGCCAAGAAATCCTGCATATCAACACTGATTTTCTGGTAAGGCTTTTAAAATGCAGGTGTGGAAGGCTGATGAAAGATCCCCAGAGAAATGTGGGTTATGGTGTCAACATCAGAAAACGAGAAAGAATATCTCATATTTCTGCCTACATGTCATCTGAAAGAAAATCTTGTTTAACGCTGAGCGTCATACTGTTATGGAAGGACAGAGATATCAAATAATAGGAGAGGGCACACACACTTGTGGCCACACTAAAAGGTATCCCTAGGAATAAATATTGCAATTTATTGGCTTTGGCCATGGAACCATAGATTATTCTGTCTTCTCATAGAGTATGCAGCTAGCAGCAAAGCTCCCTCCTAACACCAGAGTAGTGTTGCTTTCAGTGAGCTTTCAGATCATGTTGTGAGTGAAGAAAGAGAGGCATTTCTCAGATTGATACAGAAATGACCCTGGAGTGATCAGTAAATGGGAGAAGATGTGAAGATGATTAGCATCATATTGATTGCTGTCAGCTGTCAGAAGTGACTGTGCTGTCAGAAGTGAGCACAGTCCCTTCCAACATCTTTATAAGGAAAAGTAAAAGACTAGGGAACAGGAGAAGCCATCCAGGCCAGTAAATCAGGATGGACAGTCCATCTCTGCGTTGAGTAAATGAGTTGGTCCAGCTCCTACCACAAAACAGCAGAAGGTGGAGGGCTACACCCACTTAACTTCAACCAGCTTTTGCTAACGTGGGACCTTCACCACATATTTTGGGGGATCAAGAAACAAGAGTGCTACTGTCTGCATAACAATGAACAAAATAAGCACCAAAGTGACTGCATGTGGGTAATAAAAATAATAGCCAGTGGGAAACATGAGGAATCATTTAAATGATGCAAGAGAAATTATATACATCCGAGTTTATTTTTTCATAGGCAAACACATGAAAACTCGTCCTCCAGCAAAGCTGGGATACAGCCAGGGACTTAGATGTTGCAATGTTTTAATTTGCAGATTTCCTGTTGCCTAGCAGACTCCTCAGCCAAGAATTAGACAGTCAAGATACACTTTCCAAGGAGAATTAGGTGCCTTAGAAGAGTATTCCTAGAAACCAGCACAGAGTATGAAGTTATTCACACTGCCCTGGACAAACCACAGAATAACAGAATGGGACCATAGCCACAGACAGCAAAACTATCTCTCTGCTCAGCCCAAATCTTCCCCCTGAAGGAAAACAGTTCAAGCCCAGTTAAGTCTTTGTCACAGAAAGATTCTTTGCTTTGTTCTTCACCTCTCATTGCATCCAGTATCTCGGCAGCTAGGTCACTCTTAAAAGAGAAGAAACACCTGCTTCAAACCCCGATGCTGCCTGATGTGGAGCAAGACCGGTGCCGACTGCTGCACAAGCACTCCCACCAAAGCAGGCTCACCCCAGCCTGTGTCCCGCAGCAGCTGTGCGAGGAGGAGCAGAGCCCACTCTGAGGATAGCAAACAGCTGTGCTGGGGGAAGGTGTGCTCTCTCTGCAAAAACTCCGAGGTAAGTGCGGCTCTGAAAAGACCAGCTGCAGCTGCCATAAACACGACAGCAGACTGAAGCTGAGGTGGACAGCATGGCCTTTCCAGTGTGCGTAGAAACCAGGACTTCGGTGCCCTGAGACATCCACCCATCTGACACTAACACACCAGTCCCATAGCTGCTGCATTACCCACAGGAAATGTGCAGGTCTAGATAACCTTTGTAAAAGCTCAATGAGGAAGTTTCATAGCTAGCTCTTTGTCAGGATTTCCTCACCCCTGTATTAAGCATGGAAAACTGACAGATTCTTGTTGTATTCCCTTATGTTTGCTACCTTGTGAATGAAGACACTGCTCTCCTGGGGAAGAAAAGTGCAGCTGCATATTTCTTTTGCACCAGAGCCCTGTCAGAAATCGCCCTTCTCTTTATGCCCACTTATTAAGTGTATAAGAGTAATATTCATGTGAAACCAGCTGATATATCAAAGGAACAACTATCCCAAAGAATATGTATGAGATTTTATGCAGGTAAGAGTAAAATGTTTCTGCATGAGCAGAATCTATTTGGGCAATGTTACAACTATGACGGTTTTATACTGCTTGCAGTCAACCTCTCCACCCATTTTGGTTGGTATGCTGACCATCAGGTACTAGAAAAACATGCTTTAAAATAGTTAAAATATACTTCTTATTATCCAAGTGAGAATAATCTTGACAGTCTAACATGAAAAACAAAAAAACAACCAACATTTTG